CATAGAAACTAAAAGGTATGTTTCAGCTTGCATGGATAGACCACGTGTGTTTTAATTAATTAAAAGATTGGGGAAAAAAAGCCAACAAAAAGCCTGGCAATGCCAGCCTCCAGTAAATCTCTTGAATCTGTAAGTGTAGTGTTCACATGTCTGCACTCTAATAGGGTATGAATGAAAAACTGACAGCACCTGTTACTGAAATAAAAAGTGATGTCTCTAACAATGGGATACTGGGAAATTCCTTCAAGGCTTCTCTTTAATAGAGTTTGAAGGAATCAGGTTGGAAGACAGTGCATAAGATCTGAACCACTGGCTCTGATGGATGTGAATCACACCAGGGGAAAGAGATTGTTTAGGAGGTTAGAAGTTCACACCATACATCCAGTAATAATATGCAGCTGGTATGTCCTTACAGAGAGGTTGTATGGGGTTTTATGGTTTTTTTTTACCCCTGTGTGAAACTACATGTGGCATGAAAAAAAAATAATAATCAGATCTTATACATTCAGAACCAGAAATGCAAAAAGCAACCACATCTGATAGTATTGAGAACTGCAACGGATTGAAGCTAGATTGCCTAAAAATAGCTCTTGAACTGAAATCTAAAAACTGTTAGATTAATCCATTTATAATAAATCCTGATCTACTGTTGTTAGATCACCTCTTCTGTAATCTTTTCCTGGAAAGAATGGATCTTTCCTCTCTCAGTGCAGCAGCATCCTCCTTGGCAACTTCCTCCTTACCTTGTGTTATGTAAAAGGGAAGAAAAAGAAGAGCTATGTATGGTATGTCAGGTGACTCTCTGAGGGCACAGGGCTGTGTGCTGGTGTGTTGTTGAAGACAACGTGCCATGCTGAATACTCTAGAGGCATCACATATCTATATATTGTCTTCCCATCAATGGGTTTTGCAAGCCTTTTGTCAGTCTCAGTCAATAAAACTCCAACAACAAAAACCATAACCCCAGTGCCTCCAAAAGCAGTGTGTGAGCTTATGCTCACACATAACTGGCTCAGCTTCCCCAAATACTGGCATGTGTGAGCACAGGGGAGATCTCTTTGGATGTTTCATGTGCAGCTGGCTTGCACATGAAGTGCAAGCCTGCAGTGAAAATAAATCATAGTTTTTCTCAAACACATGGAAGGAGCTGTACATAATTTAGGGGCTAACCTCACCTTGTTAATTCTCTGGCCCACAGCTTCTAGGTGGTACCAGCATGTGACTTTTGGACTTCCAGCAGACAGTCAACATGAGAAGGTTTCACAGGGCAATGTCTTTTGTGGCATGGACTCAGTATAACTTTGTGATCCACCAGTGTGTTAATGACTGGGTTGATGTATGCCTGTTTATGCAGCTCTAAGGGATGGTACCAAGTGTGTAAGGTTGAACCTAGATGCTTCTTGAGTTCAGTCATCCTTTTCTGTCATCTTGCATGGAGTTCTTTGCAAAAAACACCCAAAAAGAAAAAAAAAAGGCAAAAGTAAATGGGAATATTTTTACTTTTAAATATTTTTTTCTAGAGAGTTTCAGAAAATGTTCTGAAATGCGTCTGAAAATGCCTGTAGAAAAGTAATTCCCATGAGATGCATTTACATGATAGGGAAGAGAAAAACAGCTGTGATATAATCCTCCAGTTGTATTAAGTTTGAGGGTTTTTTTGTGCTGCTGCTTTCAAGGATACCTAAATCTTCTTATTTGCTATGTAAATACAACTTGCACCATCTTTCAGTAGAAGAAGTTATAAAAGGGATGCTGTAAGCAAAGGATGTGGTTGCCAGATGTGAAAAGGGCTAAACTTGCAGAAAGGGAGAGACAGAGGGAGGGAGGGAGGGAGGGAATAGAGCAGTTGTAATGTCACTTCCCCAGGTAAGGGGAAAAAAAAAGAAAAAAAAATGCACACCGTTATTTAGTTAATAGTTTTCTCTGTGAGCAAATCCTTACCGTGATTTTCCTTCTACTGAGCAAAATTCCACACCCAGAAGCCTGAGCCCTGTGTAAAGGTTGGGAAATAAAAGAAAGAAGGGGAAAAAACCCTAAAAAAATCTATTTTCTTGCTAGTCAATGTGCCCTGGTGAAACTGGGTGGTGTTAGCTTTACTATTACTAAATTGGCTCATTGAATAGTCAAACCTTCGAACTCAGTTAATGGTATCCAATCCATCTCACTCTGTTTTAGGCCACTTCAGGGCAGCACTTTTATGTCTTCTTATAACTTATCCTATGTAAATGGCAGATGTGTTTATTTTTAAAAGCAGTAAGAAAGCCCAGTGGAACAAGAGAAAAGTTGGAAGAACAAGCCCTCAAAGAGATTTTGACACTGATGCCAAGGGGTTTATGAAAGATAAAACAGCTCTTTTTTTATGGCTAAAGGAAAATGCCATTAAATCCCTTGTGCCTAACTGCTACAGTAAACTTGCCAAAGCTATACTAAGAACAGCACACTGCGGGATATTCAATGATTTTCAATGAAAACCAGGCTTAAAAATGCAGCTCCCCTCTGTGCAGATCAAGGGGAGCTCTTGGGTGCTCAACATATGTTTCTATATGCTCACAAATGACTGGAGGAATTATTTTAAATGGGGTTTGCTGGGTTTGGTTTTGAAACTGCATCCACTATATCTATTCAGTGCCTCTGTGCCTGTAGTGCATGTTGTAGATCATTTTGCAGAAGGAAAATAACTTGTTATTTTATGAGTAAATGGGAAAAATCCTGCAGATTGCTATCTACCAGACTAATCTATATTATTAAGAAATAAAACATATACTCCTGGCAAGACCTGCTGTAGTAAAAACAGATAATATTTGCTGAAGTTCTCTACAAATTTTAAGCCTCCCTGTAGCATCAGTTGGAATTGTTTGGTGATCTAGCTCAGCTTTGAGCAGAAACAGAAGAAATCTGTCAAGGTCTGCAGGATTTTTGAAGTTCATTCAAACTAATGGCTCATAGTGAAAGGGAGGTGGCAGAAGAAGGCTGGAAAATCTGATTACTGAGCTTTGGGAGACCTGTTTTCAGGGCAGTGTCCTGGTGCTCGGGTGATTTAATGCCTGTTTCACTGCTGCTCACCTTTTTGGAGTCTGGGGAGAAGATAATTGTTGCCGAGGCACAGTAGAGTTAGGATTTTTAAACTGCACATTTTCTTGAAAAATACTGGTATCTCAGAAAATTATGCTTATGATAATGCTAAGTTTTAACATTTGAGGAGAGGATGTCCCAGACATGGACTAAAATTATCTAAAACAGGAGCAAGCATGTTCTTCAACTGCTGTATTATTGATTATTCTGTGGCAGGAGAGTTGCTCAGAGCACCATGGTCTTACATTACTTAGCAGAAACAAACTTTCAGAATGGAAAAACTCCTATTGTACTGCACAGACAGGCATCTCTCTGATTGAAATAGGTTGGCTTGAATGAAGTCCAATGTCATTACCCATTGATGACTAATAGTGCACAAATAGTGAGCATGGTCGGTGTCATGGGGCCTAGAAGAGAGGACAGCCTCTGTTCTCAGGAGCTGCAGGCTGAACCTGCTCACACAGCAAGATAGTTGAGAGGCTGCTCCTTGGGGCAACAGGGCAATTCTCACATTTATTATTTATTTCTGGCTAGACTGGAGTTCACACATGAGTGTCTTTAGCATAGAAACTACAATTCAACCCCCCTGCCAGTGGCAAGGAGGATTGGGACTAGATGACTAGATGACTAGATGAATAGATGACTAGATGAATGAGCCTAGATAAGGTTCATTCCAACCCCTAAAAGTTCTATGATTCTATGATTCAGTTCATGTTGCTGTGCATGGAGCAACAGTGACTGAAGGCTTTTTGGATGCTGGAAGAGGTGGGATGGTAGTGAGACATTGTGGCATGGGAATTAAAGTGAGAATGGTGTGAGACAAAGATCAGACAAGCCTATTCATATCCTTACCTGTGTTTCATGGTCAGCCTCAGTGTTTCCCCAGGCAGGGATTGAGGGGGCAATTGTGAATATGTGATGTTTAACTGGTGTAAAAGTGTTACTTTGAGAGAAGCAGGAGGGTGCTTATATTTGAGAGAGGCAAAGCAGGTGGGAGAAGCAGACCTCGTCACAAGCTGTAGATGACATGGCATGACGGGGTGATGGAGGAGCAGCTGGAGGCAGCCTGCCTCAGTTTCCCCACCTGATATTTCAGATCAAGCAAAAAGAAATCCATGTGAAGCTCCAGTCTGTGCAAGCACGTTGGTCTAAATAGGAGGCTGAGGTAATTATAAGGTGGGCACCCTCAATATTACACATGCACAGAGTACTTGTCTGACCGTTGCAGGATGTACAATGGGTTAATGCACTTTAAAGCAGGTTCCCTCTTGCTACTTGACTGTTCATTGCAGATTTTCAATGAATTAGCCCATTGAGCATTAAAGGCTTGAGGATTTGACTGGGCTGACATGCACCTTTGCATGTGTCCCATGGCCTGCAGCTCGAGGGGCCAGGCACTGCTCTTGGGATGAAGCAGCAGGGCATGAGCCTCAGAGAAAATTAATGTCTTGCTCCAGAGAACAGCCTTGTGTTCATCCCTCTGGTTTTGGTGATGGGTTTGTGGTGTGGGGATTTTTTATTATTACATCGTGGAAAATGTTTTTCTCTCTAAACCAGCTGGGTCTTAAGCTACACTGAAAAATTAAAAGCACTTCTGTGCTAGGTGTTCCCTAAAAGATGGAAAACAGGATTTTTACATTAAAATGCCAGAAAGAAAAATGGCTGGGGCATAAAGTGCTGCTTTATTTTCATCAGATGCTAGTGCTTTTGGAAAACCTGTTGTGCTCTAGTGGTCATTACCCCCCTGTGTGCTTCTCTTGCTGTTTGCTCCAGCTTCTCTCTGAAAGCTGGCTGTGCAGCAGGCATTGCCATGGCTGTAGCTCCAAATACGCCCTGCAGGCCACTGGAGTCATCAAAGGGAGCGTCCTTAGGACCTAGGCTTGAGTCCTTTTTCCTTCCTGTCTTTAACTAGCTCTGCTTTGTTTCAGGAGTGTCAACATCAGGGGCTCTGGGCCCAGGGAGCACCACTGTCAGCACCACACCGCAGGTAGCCACCAGCACCACCGGCCGCACCACCACCACCTCGGCCTCGGGCAGGAGGAACAGGAGCACCAGCACACCATCGCCCATGGCCGACATCCCCGATGAGATGACCACACACCTGCCACCTGCCTTCTCCCAGCTGCCCCCAGCTGGCACAGAGAGCTGTGACCCCATGGAAGCCCGTGAGATCATGTGGTCTCGGACTCGGCAGGGCCAAGTGGCCAAGCAGCCATGTCCCATGGGCTCTATAGGTGAGTCAAGGGGTGGGAGGACACAGCAAGCTGTCTCCATTTGCCCATGGCAGGTTGCGAGTATGCAGCCAGGCCACCCATGGGCCTCTGTGGCACGTGCTTTCACCAGTGGAGCACGCTGATGCCTTCTTTCAGGTCTGCATTGCTGTGGTGAGGTTTGGCAAGCAGCTGGCTGGGGATGAAGTCTCAATATGTCAAGCACATTGTGCAGGATCTTTAGCATCTGGCCAAAGGAGAGTACCAGTACTAATGACCTTGAGGGGTTGCGCTTGATGTGCTGTTAGAGCCTCTGCCTCCAGAAGTGATGTATGATCCACCTGTTACTCTGGTTTTGCCTATATTCATAGTCCCTGGACTCACTGACTGATTTGTTGATGGCGAGTGCTTTGTTGGTTTTGGGGCAGGGAGGGGAGAGGAAATAAAAAAACTTGAATTTTGAAGGTCTGTGCTGCACTGTAGCCAGCATTTCAGAGCACAGGTATTCCCAGCTTGCACCCCTGAACCAGTGTGAGTTACTTTTCAAACTGCAGCCAGCATCCAGTATGATCAGCTGGGAAAGAAGCGGGGAAACAAATCTTTCAAAATTGTTTATTTCCTATTGGATTTTGCTCTTTTTCTTCTACTCTTTTTGAATTTTGAAGGTCTGTGCTGCACTGTAGCCAGCATTTCAGAGCACAGGTATTCCCAGCTTGCACCCCTGAACCAGTGTGAGTTACTTTTCAAACTGCAGCCAGCATCCAGTATGATCAGCTGGGAAAGAAGCGGGGAAACAAATCTTTCAAAATTGTTTATTTCCTATTGGATTTTGCTCTTTTTCTTCTACTCTTTTCTTTCAATTGCTTTTGGAAGTTTTCTGTTCAATTTAAAACACAATCAAATGAATAATAGGTTTTGGCATATGGTTCCGTTTGCTGTCTTTTAACAAATGCAGTTTTCTAAAAATATTTATTTTTCACACTAGTCTCGATGTCCAGACTTGCTTGCCAAGAAGAAATCAGAAAGTAGAGGAAATTGCATGACAATAAGGGCTTGAGGGATCTGGCTCACAAAGGAGACTCTGTTAATTCTCCATTCCTGGGGAGCCATTGAATCCTGTGTATATGAATACCGACTCTCTCTTGAATTTGGTGAGGACAGCCTGATAAAATATATGTTAAAGTATGAGAAGCATGGGAAGGTGTCAGTGGTGAGAATAGGTAAAGAACATTTTTGCTATCTTTCCCAGCCTCACTTGGTAAAATTAATGCAAAAAGTATCATTTGGTTCTCAGAGAGGGGAAAGGATATTCTGAACTGAAGCTGTGAAAAGTAAAGAAAAGATGAAAAATGAAAATGAACACTGGATGCAGGGAGCCCTTTCCTAAGCACCAGAGCTAAGGACTGGATGAAAAAAGCTAAGGAAAAAAAAGCCCAACTTATTGGTAGGGGTGTGCAATAAACCTTTCCCATCTCTAATTTCAGTGATTCATGCAACTTGTTAAAAGCTGTGGTATATTAGCAGTGGGCCGCTTCTAACACCCTTTGAAGGCATGAACAAACTCTCACTAGTTTTAATCAGAGCTACTGTCAGACCTAGCCTGTATTTCGCCCCTCTGCTGAAGAGGTTGGCTCTGCAGGGCAGAGAACTTTATAGGATGCAGTCTTTTATTTATGTGTAATGTCTTTTTTGCTTTTTAAAGATCTCTAACTGCACAATTTCATATGCATTTCTCTTTGTCTGAAAGGGCCTAAGGTGCTTTGCTGTTGTTTGCAACAGGGACTGGGCAGCCCTTTCCAAACAAAACTCTCCTCTATAAAGTCCCTTTTGACAGTGAAGCCAAGCATTACATCTTGGCATTTGTAGCATTCAAACTTTTGTGCATCCAGCCAAATGGTTTAATGATGAGTCAGAGCCATAAAATCTTCATAAGGAAGTTGAGGCACAGGGACTGATCCCAAGGCACCAACAGTGGGGCAGAGCACTCAAGGTGCTGGCTCAGCATTTGAGATCTAGTTTCAATTTCTTAGTCCCTGGCAGCTTTCTTGCCTGGCCTAAGGCAAAGTCCTCTGTCTGTAGTCTCTGTTTGGCAAATTGGAAATAATATTCCTGCACTACCTCATGGGCCTTTTATGTCTTAGGGCCCCTAAGCTCCAAGAAGATGGGACCCTGAGATAACTCAGAAGTGTCCTACTAAGGACCTGAGCACTAATAAGCTCCTGGGCTTTGCATGAGGTATCTGTCATTGTGAAATTAATCTTGTGACATGTGGTGCTGGGGGAAAAATGCAACAAATAACACTGAACACAGCAGCTTTCCTATTGCAGGTGTTGCAACTTTACGGTGTCTTGCACCAGATGGTGTCTGGGAGCCCCAAGGACCTGATCTTAGCAACTGCTCTTCGCCCTGGATCAACCACATCACTCAGAAGGTAAAACCCTTCCTGTGTGCTGACCATTCTGAGTATAGTAGTGACCTTCCTTAGCTCCCTGTTTTCACACAGGGAACCCAAGGGGATTTACAGTAACCCGTAAGGCATGAGTCAGCATAATAGCCAGGAATTGCAAGGAGAAAGCAAGACTGTAAGTGTCTTATGGAAATTAAGGCAAAGAGGGTAAGGGAAGGTGAAGGAGAGGCACTGGAGAGTGGAATTAAACTAGAGTGAATGACATTTCTTGTTTGTGGCAAGAAAAGGTGGAAGAGGGAGGAGAAGGTAGGTTGAGATAAGGAAAATCCCAACTTGTTGCAGAAGGAAACTCCCTTTCAGGCATCCTCAAGGATTTTTTCATGTCACACAAGCACAGGATAAGCCCTGTACTTAAGAAATCTCTAGCAGAAAAAAGCAGGGTCAGTATGTTTGCATTTTGCCTCTGACTTTCTGTTTTTAACTTCTGCCCAGATTGTAAAAGAACTGATGGAATAGAAAACAATGCTCCAGTAATGCATATCTTTTGACTCTTAAGTCCCTTGATGAATGTTTTCTAGCGCTTCATCATTTATCAGTGTTAAAAATACATTAACATGTGACAATAGAAGTTCAAAACAAGCAGAGCTTATTTGGTAGCAGTATGTTGAGCATGTTAATGTTATTAATGCACAGTGGTGCTTTCAGCTGATTTCATTACAAACAGAGACCAGATGTGTGTTTACACCACAGAGTCTGTGGGCAGAATCTTTATTATAGCAATTTGTGGGGATTTATTCACTCCTTTAGCCAGAGTGAACAAGTCTCTGAACTGCAAGTTAGCTGTGCTGCTGCATGATAGCAACACTGGACTCCCAAAGAGCCCGTGCTCACTTGTGAATGACATGGGGCACCCTACAGACAAGATTCTTCAATATTCTCCATGTCCCCCATCTTAACCTAAGCTCATCAACCTGCAAATTGCTAGCACCTATGCCTCCAATTATCTAGGGATAATAATAAGGATAAATCTATCTCCCTTCATTTCTGTTTATAACCATCCCTCCCCAAAGGAAGGGAAGATGTCAATTAATGTGGAGCTACTGTGATACAGTGCAGCCACTACAAAGCCAGTGGTTCTTCTGTCCCACCCAGGAAGGTGAGCATCTCGCCTGCCATATGCTCAGCTAGTTGATTATTAAAGACTGCCTTGCTGGCATTAGCAGCTGTGCAGCTTTTGTTTTATGACCTACATGCTTATCCTGGAGGGGTTAATATTACTTACTCCAGCCATAATTCACCCAGGCAGTTGGGAGACCTCTTGCTGCTTGGTGGAGATGACTAGGCCATTAACAGAGAGAAATAATAGACTGCACTGATGAAATCTCTGTCGAGGTTAGGCTTATTTTATTTGAACCCCCAGCTATATGAACCCTGTTTAATTTGTCACATTCTTTGAAAGCAGGCTAAAATTGAACAGCCAGGTTTTCAGAAATGCCCAGCAGGTTGAAATTGGAACGGAATTTTTGTTTTTCTGGGGGTATTTAGTTATGTTCAGCTTTGAGAGCCTTCCACCAGTCAGTGGAAAGACATGGGGAACATGCCAGATGACTCTGGATCTAAGCATTTTGCCTGAGTGGGAATCCACTGGGATCTTGGGATATGTGACCAACCTCTAGTTGGGGCTATCAAGATTTTCCAGGAGTGACTTTTGAAGGGAAACCCCTGCCAGGCTTGCCTAGGGGTTTGTTTTGGCGTTTTCATTCATTGGATCATTTAGGTTGGAAAAGAGGCTGGAAAAGACTTCTAATATCATCAAGTCAGCACTGCTGAGTCCAGCAAAGACTAAACCATGCTCCTAAGTGGCAGGAGTGGTGAGTGAACCCCTTCCCCTGAGCAGCCTGTTCCAGTGCCTCACTACCATTTCAGTGAAGAAATTTTTCCTAATATCTAAACTAAACCTTCCCTGCTGCAATTTCAGGTGTTTTTTTCTTGTCCTAACATTTGTTACCAGGGAGAAGAGACTTTCAGGTAGTTGTAGAGAGTTATTAGGTCCCCTCGAACCTCCTTTTCTCCAGGCTAAACATCCCCAGCTCCCTCAGCCTCTCCTCATCGGACTTGTGCTCTAGACCCTTAACCAGCTTTGTTGCCCTTCTCTGGTCATTTTCCAGCGCCTCAATGTCTTCCTTGTAGTGAGGGGCCCAAAACTGAACACAGTGCCCAAGGTGCAGCTCACCAGTGCTGAGTACAGGGGAATGATTACTGCATTGGTCTTCCTGGCCACCTGCTGGCTCATGTTTAGCTGTCTGTCAATCAGAGCCCCCATATCCCTTTACACCAGACAGCTTCCTAGGCACTCTGCCCCAAGCCTGTAATGCTACATAGGGTTGTTTTGATACAATGACAGGACCCAGAACCCGGCCTTGTTGTACCTCAAGCAGTTGGCCTCAGCCCATCAATTCAGCCTGTCCAGATCCCTCTGCAGAGCCTTTGTACCCTTCCACCCAATTTACTGTCATCTGCAAACTGACAGAGGTTGCACTGGATCCCCTTGTCCGAGTCGTCAATAAAGATATTAAGCAGGACTGGCCCCATTACTGAGTCCTGGAAAACACCACTAGTGACCGGTTGGCAGCTGTATTTAACTCCATTGACCACTACACTCTGGGCCCAGCCATCCAGACAGTTTTTACCCAGCAGAGAGTGCACCTGTCCAAGCCATGAACAGCCAGTTTCTCCAGGAGAATGCTGTGAGAGACAGCTACAAAGGTTTTACTGAAGTCTAGGTAGACAACATCCGCAACCTTTCCCTCATCTGCTAGGTGGGTCAGCTGGTCATGAAAGAAGATCAGGTTGGTCAGGCACGATCTGCCTTTCATAAACCCATGTTGTCAGGGCCTGATCCCCTGTTTGTCCTGCACATGCAACATGAGGGCACTCAAGATGATCTACTTCATGATATTACATCATGTTTTCGACTTCCAGTCCACTAGGACATCCCCAGTTATCCAGCACTGCTGCTAAATGATGAAAAACATCCCAGGGAGCTCTTCTGCAAGTTCCCTCAGTACCCTGGGTACCTATCCAGCCCCATAGACTAGTGTGTGTCTAAGTGGTATATCAGGTCACTGCCCATTTTCTTCCGGATTTTGGGACTTCCTTCTGCTCCCCATCCCTGTTTTCCCACTCAGGGGGCTGGGTACCCTGAGAAAAACTGATCTTGCTATTAAAGACTGAGACGAACAAGGCATTAGCTACCACCTCAGCTGTTTCCTCAACTTTGCCAATATGTTTCACCCCTGCATCCAATAAAGGATGGAAATTTTCTTTAGCTCTCCTTTTGTTGTGAGTGTATTTATAGAAACATGTTTATTGTCTTTTATGGCACTAGACAGATTAAGTTCTCGTTGAGCTTTGGCTCTGCTAATTTTCTTCCCGTATGACCTCACGACATCCTCGTAGTTCTTCTTAGTTGCCTGACCCTTTTTTCAGATGTCATAAGCTCCTTTGTTCCAGCCAAAGCTCTCTGTTCAGCCAGGCTAGTCTTCTTCCCCACTGACTTATCTTTTGGCACATGGGGATGTCCTGCCTTTAAGATTCAGTAGAATCCTTACAGTAAACACCGTTTTAAATTACTTACGAAGTAACCAATAGCCACTTAGTTTTCCTGCCCAAGCAAGAGGCTTGAAAATCATCACTGCACTTAGAGATGGAGTTCATCCATAAATCAAGCACTGGTTTCCCACATCCCTACCATGGATGGGGTATTTCCCTGCCCCAAGCTTGCAGATTTGCTCCAGCACCTCTCTAAAGCTGAAAAAGGAGCCCTCCTCGTCTAAGCGAAGTCAGCTTCTCTTCTTGTTGCTATGGGGGCAGGTAGAGGAGGCAGTATTCCAGCTGTGCCATGAGAACAGGGGCGGTCACAATCTGCTGCTCAGCTTTCCTGCACACCTAGCTGATCCGGGTCCTCCTTGGCCACTGGTCCTGCAGCAGCTGGAGCTGCAGCACAGCTTACAAAACAGGTAAAAATAACTTTTTTGGCAGCTAGGCTTCATACCTGCTCAGCATGTCTTCATTCCTAATCTTTGTCTCCCAAAAATCTCTTCTGTCACCTGCTGGGTCCAAACAACTCAGAAAGAAGGGAGATGGGTCCCCTGGAGGCATTTCAGCCAAGCCAGAAGAGATGATAGGGAAATGTTGTGCTTGCTATAGTGAAGTAAGGATTATTTCTTACTTCTCTTTTTTCTCCTGCTACGCTCAGACTGTAGATTGGGTGTTTGCCTGCTTGCATCACGGTATTAGGTTTTACAGCCATATCTTAGCTTCTATTAGAGTTATTGTGCTTGATGGAAGATCAGAACAAATGTTCACTTCAGCAATTCATTGGCCTCCTGACATTTACTTTAACTTTATTGTTGGTGCCTACCATGCCCTTGTAACATAGCAGGAGAATTAACTTGCCAGTGGGATTGAATTATGCACTTCTACCTGGGTTATTTCTAGAGTCAAACAGTAACAGGCAACAAAAAGGTCAACTTTGGATACATTGCATGGTCCTGATCATGAGGTCATATATTCAGTCTCAGCCTGTTTGTTTTACCTCCTGCTTTCATTAGTACTGTCCTTAGCCCACAGTGTGACTTGCCTGAAAATATCTCTTCCTTGCTGCAGCTTTCAGTTGTGGGTGCTGCCTGGGAGGAGCACTACATTCAGCTTCAAGCCTTTGAAAGAGAAGAGGCCTCTTTTGTAGCAGAGCAGAAAGTGTTATGTCCTTCATGAATGCACAAAACCCCTCAATCTGTATATAGAAAGCACATGCCACCCATGTCTTCCTGAATGGCCTAGGTCATGTAGTCACAAAGAGCAGGTGAACTGAGCAGAGTACCCTCCTCAGATCTTGTAGATCTGCTTGAGTGTGTGCTGCAGAGGGAGTGCAATTTAGTGTAGGACATTACCACATCATCATGTTCAGGCCCAAGAGCAAAGTCCTGAAGACACCATGATGAAATCCTCTGTCCATGTTGTTT